CTCTTCTATCAAACTTTGGACAATAATAAAGGTTATCTTCTGTACAAAAGAATATCATCTATCACTGAGCTTAAACAATAATTAAAAAAACGCAAACGTAAAATATCAGGTCAAAGCCCATAAAAACATGCATGAAACTAGATTCCTATCGACAAAGTTCTTAATCTGAATCAGAACCCAAAGGAAGGAACCGTTTAAAGTTGCTTTTTAACTGATTAAGTCCAAACCAAGATGATTGTGCTGAATATTTCCAGCGATGTTCGAAGGCATATTGCAGCTAGTGGAGTTGTACACATTTGGGACTACTTGAGTGGTCTTTCCGAGACCCATTTACGGAAACATTTATCCAAACACCTGTACTCTTTCTAGTGTTCACATTTTCACTTGAACTTTTTAGTTTTCTTGTGATTTCCTCGTATGCCAATACAAAACTTGAAGGCATATGTTTTAAATTGCAAGAAAGAAAAGATTACAGTTTGCCATTTGTTAGGCAACTGAACTACCAATCACTGGCATAATCTAATTCGGCCCCACGATTTGCGGGGAAAAAACCTCCTTCATTAGACAATCAGCATCGAGTAAATTTGCCCTATATGTGATAAGTGTTGTACCTTTTTGTTATTATTGCTTAATTACGCGAGCAGTTGTAGTGGTATATTACAGACGTCCCATCCAGTCTACATCATCTACATCATCGCCTGTTGAAGACTAGCAGTTTGCAGTCGAAACGTTGTAGTCTTTCTACAAACGACCCTCAATTGTGAGACATAAATAATTAATTATCATTTATGACAATTTCCACGAGAAATTGTGTGTTTCAATCTATTGCGGCCGACGTTGGCAAGCACTGATTCATTGCATCTATTTTCTTAAAGATGCATTTATAGGTGTTTGGTTCTAAGCAATACCAACTATTTTAATCAAATAAGTGATTCAGGTTCTTACAAACGAGACAGGTGTTTCAGTTGATTTTCAACTTTCAAATGTGTGCTTATGTTTTGGGTAACTTTTTTTTCTTTCTCTCCTTCAGCTCCATCTGCACCTCTTAAGCTTGAGACAAAAATCATTCAACCCAACGCTCCCTCAGTTCCACAAGTAACACTAACATGGAGTAAACCTGCAGTTTGTGGTGATAATGTTCTCCATTACAAAGTGTCATACAACCGTGATGTAGATCCCACTTTAAAGGGGGAAACGGTTGACCAGAGTAAGCTGACGGTAACGATTCCTGTGTGGGGAGGAGTGACGTACAAGTTCCGTGTCAAGGGAGTCACCAACAAGGAAGGACCAGACACACCCACAAAAACTGTCGTGATACCAATTTATTGTAAGTGAATATTTTATCAAACCTAAATAAATAAAAAAATAGATAGAATAAATAGGATTTAACAGTGGCATTTTCACATAGTGGCTCT